CCGCCTGTGCCTCTGCGCGAGACTGCGCCTGAACGCGCTGAATCGCGCTCCGATTGCGCTTCTGGGCGCGCCTTATCGCGCTCCGATTGCAACTCCGGGCGCGCCTGCGCCCGTGCGCGTGCCTGCGCCTGAACGCGAGGAATCGCACTCCGAGTACGCTTCTGGGTGCGCCTGGGCTCATAAGCGCGTTGTCGCGCTCCGATTGCGATTCCGGGCGCGCCTGCGCCCGTGAGCTTAGAATCGCGCTCTGATTGCCTTCCGGGCGAGCCCGCGCCTGCAAGCATAGAATAAAGCTTCGATTGCGTTTCTGGGCGCGATTACGCCCGAACGCGCGAGATCGCGATCGAAAATTTTACGTCGCAGCACTATGCTGCGTGCGCTCCCGCACGGACGTTGGGCACGACAAACACGTGCAGCTGGCTGGCGCCAACCTGAGAGAGAGAGAGCCTCAGGACGCCCAGCCAGCGGAGCGCAACCCAGGGAGGGCGGGCGGGGAAAGAAAACACCCACGCCACGAGGCCCACCCCGCGGTGCCAGCTGACACCCACGGGCAGGACAAGGACGTCCCAGGGAGACGACGGACAGACAGACCGACAGACAGACGACAGACCGACAGACACACCGACGGGACGGACGGACAGACAGACCCACACCCGCCGTCTACAGGACACGGCGCGTTAGCTGACCCACCAGGGCAGGTGAAATCCGCCACCCCCAGTTGGAGGTATCCAAGCTTCGTGCGTTCTGCTGGGAGCTCAAGGCCATTAGGCTAGGAGGAGTGTGGCACCGCTAGCTCCTGAAATTTTCCTGCCCTCCAAACCGCTGCGCGATTTGAGGGCTAAGAAAATTTTACGTCGCAGCACTATGCTGCGTGCGCTCCCGCACGGACGTTGGGCACGACAAACACGTGCAGCTGGCTAGCGCCAACCTGAGAGAGAGAGAGCCTCAGGACGCCCAATGCACGCAGGTGGGGCCGGGCAGCTGCGCAAAGCGAAATGCTTTTGCAACAGCAGGAACACCCAATGCACGCAAGAGTTTTTCACTCGCCTGCCCCGGACGACTCTGAGTGCTCAACCAGAAACTCGGCCTCAGCTACGGAGCCCCGCGCTTTGGCGGAAGTATACGCAAACGCAGTTAGCCCTCGCCAACCGCCTGAGTAGAACAGTGCTGTTGGACCGTTAGCTCGAAGGCACTCCGTGGCCCAACCTCTACGAAAGGCATGCGTGCCCCACGCCACCGCATCAGCGAAGCCGCATCCTTGAGCAGCGAGCTTAAGCACAGCAAGGCTCATCGCGTATGTCATGCCTGGGAAAATGACATTATTCCCAGCTTCAGCCTGCGGCGCCGTGTCTGTAGACGCAGAAGCCGCGGCACCACTCGCGAGCTTGGCCAGGAGCTTGTACCGGGCAACAACCCGGCATACACCACACAGTGCTTTCCCTTGGAGATCACAAATGCACCTGCGAGTGACAACAACAGGTTCAGAATAGCACTTTCTATTCATGAATGTGATGTCCACGACGTTCCGCCCTTCCACAGTCACACTGATCGACACGGGAGCTGTGTCGGAGCCCAGCTGCAAGACTTCGCCGTAGCGCAAACAGAACTGCCGCGCCACTACGAAAGACTCACCGATGTCAATGAAGCCGTTCCCGGAACACCACCGTGACAATTCTTTTGTCTGCTCTGCAGAGGCGCGGATCTTCGGCCGCCGCAGCGCCCGCCCTGCCTTCTCAGCTCCCCGCACAACACGTGCTGTGTCCGCAAGGGGGCCCACAGAACAGTGCAACCAGACTAAGACGGTGCGAATGTGCGACAAATATCTTGACAAAGTAGCCGCACTCCTGAAGAGACAAACGTATGCATCCAATATACCCTGTGTTGGTGGCCACGGCGGGACTCTGCAGAAGAGAACGACTTGGCCATAGAGTCTCAGCGCCGAGGCATAACCTGCAGCGCTGGCCTTCCAACCGCAAAATTCCAACCACATTGCCTGGTCCGCCATCGCTGTTGGGGCAGTGCCATCGCGTGAGATACGTGCGATCTCCTGCCGCGTTGCTCCGGGGGGACTGTGCAATGCCAGAGCGTCTGCTTGTGCCATGGCAGCAATAGCGTCGGCAAGGACGTGCGGCGCAGGGAGCCGGCCAGACGTCCGCGCCGCAGCGCATAGCGGCAACGCCGCCCTCGCCACAGCTTGTTCCTCGGGCGTGGAACCTGCCTTTCGCCGCGCCATGGCCGGAAGAAGAGCTGCCTGGCGCACCTGTGGCGACTGCGGACTCTGTGCAGGCGAAGCGATTTCCTTTGCCACACTTTGACCACAGGATTTACATAAATCCAAAAAGGAGCTGACGACAGCAAGAGACACTCTCGAGAACGCGCCCCACACCTCAACAGCTTCCTCGGGCGTGATGCCCAAGAAATCAGATGGCGCCACGGCCCCTTCCTGCCGGAGATTTGCCTCTACCGTGCGTACATCCACCGGGACATCCGCGATGCCCGCCGCGCGCCTGAGCAGCTGCGTCAAGACAGTCTCGGGTGTATCTCGCGGATCCATTTCGGGCAGTCTCGGCCGCACTTGCCGGGCAGCATCGCCGCCGGCCAAGGCAGCCCGCTCCCGACTGCCGGCAATGAACTCAAGCATTGAGCAAAACCGGCTATTGATGACGAGAGTCCAAACGCCACCATTGCTACAAACCCGCATCCGGCCACTCTTGGCCGCAATGGCCTCAGATGATGCATTTTTTTCCAACAGCACTACGGTGACCAAGGCAGTGCGGGCGGCCATGCCCACTCGAGCTGACGGAATCCGCGGGACTGAAAAGCCAAGACAGATTCGTCCCAAGTTTCTTGCCGAGTCGGGCCGTCAGCAATATTTAACTTGCTGGGCACTCGGAAAGCGTGCAAAAGCATGCACGCGCTGGCTACTTCAAACCAGAAACCGGTGATCACATTATTTAAATCACTTTGCCGGCTCGCTCCGCGAACCAGCGCATGCAAGGCTGGATTGCAATCGACGAACATGATTATCTCACACTCAGCGAGCCCATGCTCGATCAGACAGCGCACAGCACAAATTGCAGCAACGAGCTCCCAAAGCACTATCTGCGTCCGGCGCGCGTGCGCCCACGCCCACGCCTCCCGGGGCACCCTGGTGGCCCCCCAGGCGCGGAAAGCGGGATGCACAATCGCAAAAGCCATGTGGCCATCCCCCGCGGCATCTGTATAAACGACACACCTGGGCAGAGATAGCGGCTGGAGCGATACCCGGCGCGTGGGGACGCTGCCTAGGAACCGGCACCACCATTGCAGTGCTGTGCGGACTCTAGAAGTGAGCGTCCCCGAGGACCTGTGGGCTTGCCAATGCAGCGCTGCCAAATATGCACGAGCCCCCTTGCCGAAGACAACGCTGCCTGCCCAGCTCAGCCGCCCTGCCAGCCGCTTCGCTTCGGAAGGGCGCAGGACATTCTCGCTGAGTGCACGCGTGATAACAGCCAGCCACTTCTCTCTCTTATGTTTTCCAATGCAAAAAATGAGAGCACCTGGCACAGAGCTTACTTCCACGCCGAGCATGGTAGCCGCAGCGACGTTGTGCACACGTTTCTTCGGCTCGAGTTCCCAGCTGGTCAGCTGGAGCATCCATCTGCTGCGCACACGCCGCGGTGCCCGCTGGCCCCGTGAGCGCCCTATGTGCCCCCTGGGCGCGGTCCGCCGAAAATAAATCATCAACGAACCGAGGATACGCAATGTACAATTCTCGCGCCAGGAGCGCCTGCAGGAACGAGCCCAATCTATGCCAACTATATACAGAAGCTCGCAACCCGAATGGGCAGCATAGCAACTGTAAACCTTTGCCGCGCAAAGCGGCGCTTTGCCAAGTCACAACTGCAAAAGGCAAGTGCTGAGACAGGAGCGGGAGCGATTTGAATGCACCCTTAAAGTCCTCCTTCCTGAACAGGAACTCGCAATCTGCAGGCTGGCCACGGGCAAGCCACACAGCCAAGGACACCAGAGTATCCAGCGTATCCACTGGCATTGGCTCGCCTACAGCTGTCGCCGAATTCACAAGCGAGGCAGTGAAATCATCAATCAATCGCACTTTCGGGCACACACTACCCCGCTCATCTTCCGTCCACCCCTCCAGGGCAGGAAAGCGTGCAGAAATGATAGACGCTGCCGTGTTCAGCCGCGTCCACCATGCTTTCTTCTCTCCTACCTCTTGTACACACTTTGCTTCAAAGGTTTCCTCCACCATCGGGTGCGCGCCGGTCGGCCTGCGCGCCCTGTGCAACGTAGCAACGTTGTGCTCCTCACAATGGCGGAACAGAAACTCAGGAGTAAACGACAGCTGCGGGAAGGGCACTGGCGGCAAAATGCCCGAGCGCGGCAATTCCCCTATCAACGGAAAACCAAATTTCAGATGCTCAATGAGCAACTGGTCTGGCCACTCGATCGCCTCCAGCATTTCGGCCACGAGAAACAAATTCTTATCCAGCCCGAGCACGCACTGGCAGTGCGCTGGCAATTGCGACACTGCCCGCCGCCACGCAGGGTCTGTCACACGTTTCCTATCAGCCCAAAACTGGAGCTTGCTTGCACGATGTTCGTGCAATCCAGAATCCGTTAAAGATTCTGCCCGCTCCAACGCCTCAATTATTATTGCTGGCATTGCAGCGGGCCCTTCAAACGCTGGCAAAGTACAGGCCCATTCAAGATGATCCCACGCACACATGGACTCAAGCAAAACTGAATCGGCCAACGGCGCGCTGACAGCCCCGCTCAAAGTTGAAAACCCACCAAGCGCATGCTGCCGCCCACTATCTTCGCTTAGAACACTTGTACCGGTACTGCTTGCGTCGTCCTCGGACGCAGACTTCTCTGGCGAAGCTCACTTCTTCTTCCCGTCGTACCACCCCTGCTGATACCAGCCATCCTTCCTAGTGTTACGACTCCTGGAACGGCCACGCTGGCTGGGAGGCTTCCTCGGCGGCGAACGCACGGGCCGGTTATCGCCCTTGCCACTCTTGCCGCCCTTGCCGACAGCCTTACCGCCGCTGCCACGACCGTGATTCCCAGCGGCGCTCTGAGCAGAAGACCCCGCTGCAGCAGCTGATGCGAATTTCGCAACCCTGCCAGCGCCAGACTGCGCTTTATCTTTTGCTGCCCTGGCCGTGTCGTCGTTCAGCTCGAGGAGCCAGCGCAGCACGTTGGGTTTCTCACGCTCCAGCTCCGTGGCCATTTCTTTCCGCACCTTGACGTCATAGTGGTACGCTGTGGCCACACCACCATGCTCCTCTGCCACCCGGGTGAGGATGAAGACATACGACAGGAGGTGCGTCTGAGAGCAAACCTTCATCATGACGAGCTTGAGGCCCCACGAGAACACATGCCCCAGGAACGTGGCGAAGCCCTGGTAGTGCACCCGCTCTTCCAAGGAGCGCGCCTTCTTCATGTCGAGCGCGGCTTTGAGCCGATCATCCCAACTGCCGCCGCTCGGCATCAAATCGATTGCTGGCGACCTCGTCCACGCTGGCCGGTGCAATGCCATCAGGTCATCTGCGTCAGCACTGCCGACGTAAATGCGGCCTTTTTCTGCAGCTATCTTTCCGGCCGCTCCCTTTGGGTTTAGTTGTCTGCTTCTCTTTCTCGGCCTGACACTTAACGAACTCTTTAGAGCCTTGTGCCACCTCCATTCCCGCTGATTTCGCGAAAGCAGTCTGGACACGCAAGGCGAACACAACCATGGCCGGAGTCATCTTGAGAGTCTTCCAACTCTCAGGATTGCCTTCTTCATTGAATGGCGTGTCGCCAGCTTTGAAGTTGGCCTTGATCACGTCGCGGACGTAGTCGTCCGCGTAATCTTCCGGTTGCGTGCTGCACACCACGTCGGCGAGCAGCCGCCCGACGCCCGTGTAGAAGCGCAGGTCATGCTTCCCACGAGCCTGGGGCTCCACGTCCAAGACCGTTTCCATCCACTGGACGCGGACATCCATCTCGGTCTTGTTGAACGCGCTAGCCGGCAGACCAGCGAGGTCCGCGCGGATCTCTTCAGGGGTGAACTGGCCGGCCATGGTGGACCACAGGCGAGCACAGCTGAGAGAACAGATAGACAGAGTACCGAAACTGAGCGTTTGGGCACTACAAGCGTAGACTTGCGAGGTTGACAAGCCTAAATGCCAGCGGCACAGACGCATTTCGCAGAATTGCCTTGCACTCACTTCGGGCTTGCAAGGTCTGAGCTGTGAGAGGGCAAATTGCTTGCCGTGCGGTCGTCTGAGCCAGTGCGGAAGAACGCTCGAGACAAGAGAGACCAACCAGCCAATGCGCGGTAGGCACCGTGGGGCAAAACGTAGCCAGCGCTGATGCGATGCCTATCCCCCTCCGCAGCCTGAGTGCACCACCCAGGCCCCCGGAGGGCGTCATAGGCGCGCCTGCCGAGCACTGCGTGCGATGCTGCCCCCGTGGAGAACCTGCCTTGCCGCGCTGGCTCCCTGCAGCCGGACGGCGCTGGGCTTCCGTCAGAGATAGGATTTCCCTGACGCCACCGCGCGGCCGACGCAATTCAACTCTGCCACCGCCGCCGCCGGAGGACACAGAGCAGATCTGAATGATGAGATGGATGAGTGAGCGCCCATCTTTGGGGCGAGCGCGTCCGCCTGGACGCGGCGCGAAGGGGCTTACTCCGCTACAGAATGCTGTCCGTCGTCGCGGAGCAGGCGAATCCGTCTCCAAACGAATTTTTCCATTTCTTTCCTGGTGGGTGGCCTGGGCGACCCCATCCTATATGTGACGGGGCGCGCCGTCTTGGCGGGCAACGCCGTCAAGGCGACGCGCTAGAAGGCGTGCGCGCACAGCTCGTCTGCACGCTGTTGGCCGGATGGATGCAACGACGCCAGAATATCAGCTTCGCCTCGGGGCCGAGGCCGCCAGGCAGCACCTTGCGACGGGGCTTCCGACCCCACGCTAATTCTCCCCCTGTTTAGTCTGCCGATTCTCCGGCTGGGGCCGGAAATCTTCCGAAATCCGATGGGGCGACTTCCCATGGGAAATCCGCCCAGTTGCAATCTCAGCCGCCGAATTTTCAGCAGCCACACCAGAATTGAATTCTGAGCTTGCTGGTGAAAGGGGGTCAGCATGGATATGCCGATAACGCGCCGTTTGGACGCGAGCCCCCCGGGGTCGGTCGAGGACAGGCGTGCTGCACAAGTGCAAAGCACCCCCGCCCCCGTTGTGTGCAGGTGGGGGGTTAGCCAATATCAAGGACTAGCTTCTGCCGCCTGCACACATCCGACCCCGAGTGCCCCAGAGTGACCGTAGCCCCCCTGTCCAGGTCTGGCTCGCTCAGAATGGCATTCCGAGCATGATCCTGCGCACTCTCGCGAGGCACGCCCAGATTTGCGACTTGAGCACGATTTCTCGCCCTGGAGGCCTGACTCGCTCAGAAAAGCATTCTGAGCCTGATACTGCGCACCTTGGGCGAAACGCGCCCAGATTAGCAAACTGAGCCCGACTTCGCGCCCTGGAAGCCCGGTGGAAGCCTGACCCTGCGCACTACAGCCGAAGCCCACTCAGATCAGCGATCTGAGCTCGATTCCCAGCCTGGGGGACCGACGCGCTCAGAATAGCATACTGAGCCTGATTCTGCGCACTTTGGGCCGTGCACGCCCAGATTGGCGATCGCAGCGATTCCGCAGCCACGGGGCCGGGCGCGCTCAGAATAGCATTCTGAGCCCGATACTGCGCGCACTGGGATACGAGCACGATTTCCCGGGAGCACTCAGTGCAGCCTACTGATCCTGAGCCTGCGCACAGAGAGCACGATGCCGCACCCTCCGGCGCCAGTGGCCGAATCCTGGCCCTTGCCACACGAGGCCCAGCACAGCGCACTGGCTGGGCGCGCCCAGATTTGCAATCTGAGCCAGAATACGCGCCATGGAGCGCAGCAGCAAGCCCAGACGGAGGTGTTTCCGCCTACCACCGCCGAGCAGGAGCACCAAGGAGGCCTCCGGGGCGAAGAACGGCGCGGGAGAGGCAGTGCGCACGCGAAGCGTGTAGCAATATTTTCTTCATGCCACAGCCGTGGCTCGGCGGGAGTGCTGCTTCAGCCGCAGGCCACAGGGCGCATCCCTTCAGGGAGGGCCCTTACCCCTCCAGGGACGGGCGGAGTGCGACCAGCACGAGGTGCGAACCCAGGGCGGGCGGGCGGGTCCGCGAAAAACGCGCGGAACTACCCCCTGGGCCTGCGCTCGAGAAAACAATACCGACGGTGAAAGATCCCACATGAAGGCGAAGCCCATCGATATTGCAATATAAGGGGAGCAACCTGCAATGATTTGATACGAAGAATAAGCTCGTTTTGGGGTGTCCGCGAAAACCTCGTTTCCCGAATGCACAGCCTCCTCAGAAACTGCGCTTTCCGCCTACCACCGCCGAGCAGGAGCACCAAGGAGGCCTCCGGGGCGAAGAACGGCGCGGGAGAGGCAGTGCGCACGCGAAGCGTGTAGCAATATTTTCTTCATGCCACAGCCGTGGCTCGGCGGGAGTGCTGCTTCAGCCGCAGGCCACAGGGCGCATCCCTTCAGGGAGGGCCCTTACCCCACCGAGGCCTAAATTAATTACAGAGGCTGCTTCCAAACAGGTAAGGCCAGCAGCGGCCGCTGCGCAGTTGCAGAGGGCGCAGCCTGCTTTGGGTTAGCGGCCGCCGCAGCACCCAACAACAATTGACGGCGATCGGAGTCTGGGTGCTTCGTGTAAAACGCTCTCATGACATCGAGAGACGACCACCCGCCCTGCGCTTGCACAAGGGTTTCCGGGAGAGCCGCGGCATGCTTCCACCACAAGGCGCCGCCTTTTCTCAGTGAGTGACTCCCCACCGAGGCGGGGTCCTTCACATGTCGGGATAGCATTCTGCGGAAAGTATCCGCGGACACTGCTCTCGGGGAGGCGGCGCCGGTCACGCAAAAGAAATAACCAGTGGAAGCTGGCCACAAAGCTTCTCTGCGAGCCGCCCACGACTGCATAAGTTTCAGAGGGCAGAGCGGCCCCAACTCTGCCAGCCGCGGGAGCCAGATGAGCATTCCCACGCCGCAAGGATCGTTCTTCTGCCGGCGGATACGGCACTCAACAGCATCTTCCTGGAAAACAAAATCCTCTGTGAGAAGCCCTTGTACTTCTGCAAAGCGCCGGATCCCGAAGAATGCTGCCGCAACCATTGCAGCATCGCGCAAACCAGCGTCTGAGGCTTGGGCAAGGCGACAACGCTGCACAACACACGCCTCGTCGAACGAAAGTGGCCGCTTGGCGTGCCGCAGCGAATGGTCAGCGAGCTTTTTGAGATCTCGCCAGAAATGCCAAGCTCGAGGAGTCCAAGCCAAATCGAAAGCAGCAAGTAAATCACGCTCTACATGCCAGGCCCTGACGGCAGCTTTTCCTGCGCCCACACTGCCCCAAGGCTGGCCGATCATCCCAGCGAACAACACCATGACCTTTTCCTCCGTGTCGCAGGGCAGCAAGGACAACGCAGTGTCAGATTCGACTGTGCTTACCACGCTGCGCAAGGTGGCGTCGTAGCGACTGCGCGTGGACGGCTCCCAGGCCGCCGCCAAACAGCGATCGATGTCAGCGGCAGCCTTCCGACGCGCGGCCAACTGCACCGGCGCACTCTCGCCGGCAACCAGTGCAAGCGGAGCCCTGGGAGCACCGAGGCTGCGAGCCCCAGGGCCGTCTGCGTGAATCGCACTCGGCGTGTCCGCGGCGGCCGCCACCGTCAGCCTGGGATACCCGCTAGAAACTTCTGCAACAGGTACGGCCGCACGGGCGGGGCTGCCCCGAGAGCCGCTGCTACCTGTGGAGGTCGCAGAAGCACCGTCGGCGACAAGAGACTGACACAGCGCCGTGTCCAGCGGAACTGCGCCAGAAGACGCCCAAGCAGCGCGGCTGATGTCGAGCATGCCCAGGAACGACGTGGCCTTCCGCACCCCAACTCCAATGCCCGAGCGCCCAGGAACCGCTGCATCCTGCGAGGGGACCGCCACCGCCGACACAGCGCCATCTCCGCCAGCACCAGCACGCGCAGCTGCCGGTTCCAGCGGAAGGGGCGGCCGCCGCGATCCAGCGCGCGCTGCTTTGGAAGGGGGCGAATTGAAATCATTTCTGTGCACGAAATCATCCATTGTCTTGGGCCCGAGGCTACGGAACGGCAGTGGGAAGACACATGTGGCGCATGAAAGACGGAAGGCCCACTCAATACGGAGCCTCTGAAACCAGCCGTGGCGGACACCCCATTGAGGCCTGTTATTTTTCATTCTTCAAGGATCTCTTAAAAGCGGCCTGCACGTCGGGAACAGCAGCAGGCGGCTAAACGCCATGGAAAATCGAATGGCTCTGGCGCGCGGCTGGGGATGCCTAGTTCTTGCACTCCGACATCCAGTGCAGGAGATGGCTTGTCCGTCCCGCCTTCGTGCATTTAGAACACGGGAGCATGCAATCGTTTCCCTGTTCCTTGCAGTGCTTCAGCGTGTGTTTGACGATGCCCTTGCCGCTGAACAAGCAATTCTTGCACACGTGCTCCCTGGAGAGGCACGTCATCGTGCTCTTGTGCTGCTCACTCACAAGGTATTGCTTGTCAACCCAAGACTGGATTTTCTTGGCGCTGCCGGTCCGGACCACGTGCTCCAGCTCGCGCAGCAGCGTGTCCAACAAGGCCTTGCGGTCGGGCTTGTCGCCGGGCTCCTTCTTCGTGGTGAAGCCCTGGTTGGCTGAACCACTGGAGCGCGCCGAAACCTGGGGGGAAGCGCCCGCAGACCCCTCGCCGTAGCGAGGTGCCTTCGCCGACGGCGCCCCTGACACATCAGACGCAGCCAGCCTTTTTCCGGGCCCCTTGGCCGCCAGCGCTGCCTCCGCCAAAATGAGGTCCTGGGCGAAGTCGCGCAACAAGAGCTCGTGCTCAAGCGGGATAGACGCACTCGCTTTCGTGGTCCGCCGCTTGTATTGCTTGATGGCCAGGTGAATGAACTCGAGGAGGTGCTCCCTCTGCGCTGCAGCTTTCTCTGGCCCCGTTTTCTTGGCGGAC